CCCTCTCTCTCTCTCTCTCTCTCTCTCTCTCTCTCTCTCTCGCTCTCTCTCTCTCTCTCATCCTGCGTATCTTACCGACGCCTGTCCCAGTCCCAGTCCCGTGAGCTCATCACCGGAGCCGAGCGGAAGAAAACTCCGATATCCCACAATCAGGAAATACCGCTCAAACTCACCACAGCTGCCGCTTTGTGCAGCCACTTTCACCGAGTAGAAAACATTTTTTGTTTGTGGAGGAGAGATGCGGGTGGTAAACAGTCTGGCCGAACCGCGAACCCAGTAACGGAGCTGAAAGCCGCGGAGGGAACCGGAGAAGCGCTACACGACGCGTCCGTCATCATCACGGCCCGCTGTTCCGGTGGAGCGACTGACGTGAGTCTCCGGTACCGTGTGTGTGGAGCTGCTGGAGCAGGGTTTGGTGGCACATTTGTACCCAGAAGTGAGCTAACCCTGACAAAACCTCTTTTAGGGACGTCTTCATTTTTAAAACACTATTTAAATTAAGTGTATATATAATTTTTTACTTGATTTTTAACTGTTAGCGTTAGATAGTGTTTATAAATATCTGTAACGTCAGGATATTTGATTAAATGACCCCTAATGTTCGCTATAATGTAAGAAAGCTATCATTTTAAGCACATGCTCTGAGGGAAAAGCGTTTAGCTAAGAGACTATGGGGGGTCATTGGGGATAGTTCAACCAAAAATGAAATTCTGTCATCATTTGCTCACCCTCACGTCGTTCCAAAAAATGATATTTTGAAGAATGTTGGTAACCAAATATTTGCCGGTAGCCATCGACTTCCATTGTATGGAAAAACATGCTATGGCTAGCGTAAACTGTTTGGTTTCCAACATTCTTCCGAGTATCTTCTTTTGTGCTCAGAAATGCGGAGTTTTGAAACAACTTGTCGTTGACTAAATGATTTTGGCACTTCACTTTTGGCGTTTTGTTATACATTTTCTAAGAACTGTGGCATATTTTCATGGCATGTATCTTGCAGCTGCACTATTTCTACAGGCGTATGCTAAAGGAATCTCCAGTGTGATTTTATCAGTCAGTCTGAGCTCACTTTCACACTCTTGACTGCCAACCCATCTCGCTCACTTATGGAAAACATTGCACTGCGCTACAGGCGTTCAGCATCCTTCTCTTCTGCCAGACCAGCAGACTTCTGCATGACATTGTTAGCCAGCATGTGCCTTTATTCTGTAGATCATGAAGACTTCTTAAAACCATAACAAGTCTTCTGTCTCAAAATCAACAGGTGTTTAGGAAAGTTCTGTGATGGTGTTTGTTGCGGGAAAATACAATAAAAAGGGCATTTTGCTACAGCAGGACTTTATTCGTACCTTACAGTTAAAATTTGAAGAAAATATGTATTTATAATTAAATTAATGAGATTTTATATGAGTAGAGTTTATATAGTAATTAAGAACAATAGAATTCAATGGGAATCACCGTTTAGACAGCCAGATGTGTGTGTGTGTGT